AGAGATAACATCCGCCAGTTTCTTCAAGAATGTGCGAAGCTGGAGGAGTATAATGTGGAGGGAATGCCCGTATGGTGCACATTTCTGGTTCTTGAGAAAAGGGGTCTTGTGCTTCCCCTTTACACCATTGAAGAGAATGTCAAAAAATCAGCTAAGCCCTTCTGTGATCAATGCCGTTGTGCGGGTAAGAGAAAACCCTATTGATTTTTTTTTGGTTGATTTTCGAATTGGGATATGATTTTGAGCTGGAAATTGTAGTTTCCGATTAGGGTTTATGGGGTTTTGAAATTTTTAAACTTTGCTGATGCAGGGTGGAGTAATCACTTAGTGTCGAAAAGGAAATATCATGTGATAATACCTGTGGAGGATGAATGGAATAAACCGCTTAATGAAGGGGTTCTTGATTTGCAAAATCATCTCTTACATGGGTTGATTCATTGCAATGGATTTGGGCATCTGCTAATTATGAATGGGATTGAGGGTGGGTCGAATTACCTTTGCGGTCGAGAAATCATGGACTTTTGGGACCGTCTTTGCTCTCTTCTTCATACCCGGTAAGACTTTTGTATATGCATGCTAGGAGTATGTGATCTGATTTCCAAATCGAATTAAATCATCAGTATATGTATGATCATTTTATTAATATTATCGCTGTGAAGAATCATTGCTATTGCTAGATTAGGAATTGTTCTGATTATTACTCTATTAACATTTTGAGAACTCTGTTATCTGAATTTTTTGACGGAGTTACATATTTTAATGAGTGGAAACACATCAGTTCTTTGAAGAATATATTATCAAAATTTTCTCTGTTTTCTTTTGTAGGCAAATCACAGTCGAGGACTTGTCCAAGAAACGCAAGATGGATCTTCGATTGCTATATGGAGTTGCTTATGGACACTCGTGGTTCGGGAGATGGGGATATCGATTCTTTCAGGGAAGTTTTGGGGTGAAGGAGCATAATTACTCTAGAGCCATTGAAATTCTCAGCTCTTTGGAGCTAGATCAGATTATAAATGACTGTTGTCAAAGAAATGGGTGCAGAGATGTTATTGGACAGATTATCCGCCATTACAGAGATATGAGTGAAACGAATTTGACTACAATTAGAGATCTCTTCAGATTTATGCTTACTCTCAAGTCAAGAGATCCAGCTGCAAGAAATTCCACCACTATTGAAACGGTTACATATTCTACAAAAAATTTACCTAAAATTGCTCTATGGGACCGACCTGTTGGAAAGGAACGATCGATGAAGTGCAGAAAGTTTGCCAATGTTGCAGCACATATGGACAGCCGGTGGCCAGTTAGGAGACTTCAACATGTGGCAAATGTCATTGTTGAAGCGCTGAAAGAAAAGAGAGCAGCAAACGACGTTGGTAGTAGTGGGATGACTCGACAGGAGGCACGAGATGCTGCTCGACTCCATATTGGTGACACGGGGTTGATAGATCATGTTCTAAAAGCGATGAACAATGTAATTGTTGGGAATTACATCGTTCGACGTGCAGTGAACCGGTTGACTAGAGTGTTGGAATATTCTATCCATGATCTCAAGGGTGGCACTCAGGTTAATACTATAATGATTCCCGGGCCGATGATGTTTGGGAAAAGCGTTTACTATGATGTCACCTACTTGTACCAAAATGTACTCCAGTGCTGCCATTCAGAGTCGAATTATGTGAAACTGGCTGTTCAAACGATTTTAGACAGCAAACATTTTGTGAAGGATTGGCCATTCAGAGATGAGGCGGATGACTTACTGAGGTTCATATGTCAAGTAACACCAAGCTCAATTGACCTGAAAACCGAACTTACTCCAGACTTCTCACCTGCAGAGTATATAGTGGTTCCACTCCATGCCACAATGGGTGATCTGAAGTTATCCGTTCAAAATGCAATGAGGGACACTTACTGTGTTATGGAGCAGCTGCTGGTAACAGATGTTGTAGAGAAGGAGGGAGTGGATGATGAGGAAGTGCTTTTTGGACTGGTCGAGTCGGGTGCACAGATTCGGGTTAGAGGTTCCGGATTGGATTGGGGAACAGATTTGAGGTTCGAAGGGGGAATTGACACTTGGATTGTTAAATGCAAGTGTGGGGCACTAGATGATGATGGGGAGAGGATGGTGTCATGCGATATATGTGAGATATGGCAGCACACACGATGCAGTGGTATTGAAGATACTGAAGTTGTGCCACAATTATTTGTATGTGAGGCATGTTGCACGAGCCTCGCACCACCACGAGTGCAGCAAAGCTATGATTTTGAGCATTTCCCTGCTTCCATTTTGCCTCAGTTCTCCGAGATCGATATGGGAATACTGTACTGAGGATAGGGTTCATGATGGTGAAATTTTTGTGTTGATAGTCATTTGGCCTCTGCTGAATTTGTAGGCATAGAATAGGAAAGTAACCCGTGTTGAGTTTACATTGACTGATACAGATGTAGAAAGCATTTGACGGAGAATTAATGCTTTCGGACTCACAATTGAGTTTGATCTTACGGTAGATAGGAACCGAACTGTCTCCCATGACGTTATAAATCCTACTACTCGTACGACTTGGATAAGGAAGGTGTATATAGAAAAATCTGTAGATATTTTCTCTTCTCTGAGAAATTTGCAGTGTTATGGTTTTTCTGAGTTCTCTTTTAAATGAGAAATAAGCTTTGATTGTTTTATTTTAGGTTCGATAACTCTATGAAAAGAGAGATTTTGAAACTAAGAAGCTTTTATAAGCCTGCAGCCTAAATTCTGAATCATAACTCCTAAAACGATTTACTAAATTCATCGAGTTGTTCCAAATGATCAATTATTAATAGAATTTCTTGTCGGCTCCTTGTAAAAAATATTCATTTGGCCAATACTGCGAGAATTGCTGATATTGACAGGATGAATATTAGAAGGGAACAAAATGAAGCAGTGTGATAGTTGTATTGTTTTTGTTTTATTATTTATCTTTAATTGATGTTTGGTACAAGAATGGGAGTCGATAGTATTGGATACAACGAACAGTAAGAGGCCTTATTTCGATCATATCTCGATTGTTAATGTCCCTACCCAAACCCACCCCCGCATGCCACATCCCTACCCAAAACCACCCCAAGTGTCCCAAGCCACCTCAGAAACCCCAACCCAATTCTTCACATCCCAAACCACAAACCCACTAAACATCGATATTTCCTCATTTCTGTAAATAATACTTCTTTTGAAAAAATTCTGTCTTTTTTTAAATTCTAAAACAACTAATAATTCGAGTGAATGATGCAAACAAACTACAAGAGTGAAGAGCTTAATTGAAGTTTTATTAAATAATAGACGTGTAAATTAAAGGAAAACAAATCAGCACATGGGGCAATACTAGATATTTAAGTTTCTGGGAGTCACATTATCAATAAGCTTTCTGCCAACGAAGAAAATGTTTGAGTAAGAACAATTTCAATGTATTATATGACTTCAGAAATTGGGAACTTGAATGATAGTAGCCATTATGAACTGCCGGAGGAAATTCGTGAAATTTTCTGCATTTCCCTCAATCCGCAAACATTTTGCCAAACGCAGTTTGTTATTTGTTGCTGAAGACTGCATGTCTACTGATTTTTATGGTAAGTATGTCTCCTTACGAACGCCAGTGCTTTCTTCCAAAGTTTTAATTTTAATTTTATTTCTTTTCCTTTTCATCCCTTTTGTGGGAAGAAGGTTTGATTACCTATTATAATATTGGAATAATACGGGGTAATTTTTGGATGGAGAACCAGATTGGTGCAAGAATTGGAAGGTTGTCATATCTTATAGCCTTAAAGATGGCTGTAATAGGTTGAATCTTCTCTGTTCTTGTACATTTACCAGTGTCAAGATTTTATAACAAGAAGTAAAAAAAGAAGAGAAAAAAAGGGCAGAAGACTACAAATTTCCTGCTATAATAATTAAAACGTAGTGCTCAGAATAAAAATTTCCTTTCCTGCAATATTTAGAAGAGCTTCATTAATTACAATCACCAAGAATTCTCTAGTGGTTTTTCCAGTAATGCAGAAAGGTACATCTCATTTAGCTCCGGGCCACGATCAAGCTTGCGTCCCACCACCCATTTGACCTTGTTGAATCCGACACTTCCAATGAGGGGTGTATAGACGTTCTCTAACTGATCCCCAACACAGAAAAAATGGTCGAGCCAGAACAGTCCACCAGGCCTAAGCACCCTATATATGTCGAATATCAAGAAATGGAGTAGTTTTGTGGGTATCCAGTTACTCAGAACATGCATAGAATGCACAATATCTAGTGTGTTGTCAAAGAAGGGGAGTCTTTGCGAAATGCTTATGTACAAAGGTACAACCCCTCTTGATGCAATGAAATTATTGAAAGGGCCATTTAGATTCATTGAAGTTGTGATGATTGTTATGTTTCTTTTTCTCATTCTGACAGCAAATGTGGCCACGCCACCTCCGATGTCAAGACCTATTCTTATTGTCCCAGGCTTCTTTACTGCAAGTACTTCATCTATGGAGAAGTCGATGCCCCCACCATTGCCTGTCCATCGGGTTTTCTCTCGTCCAGCAAGGTCAAAACAGTTCTTGCAATCGTCAAAACCTTTCTGAGTATGCATACGATTGATGAGACACGAATAGTTCTTGCAGGTATATGCTGTCCAAACAACAGATGAGTCCGAGGGTGTCATCCATAAGCTATGAGGAAGTGGGTACGGTTCAACGTATTCTTTCTGTGCAGCTGGATGGCACCGGCGCCGAGGAAGTGGCTCGCACCCCCGCAGGAGAAGCTTTTGTGCTAGAAGCTCGTCGTCCGGGCAGGATCCATTGACTTTGTATGACATATACCGGCGAAGCATATCGGGGAAAAGTGCACACGGACGGCCAACTGGAGGGAGGATTTTGTCGGAATCAAAATTCGAGTTATACCCCAGTGGGAGCTTCTGTGGGGATGTGAAAGCAAGAAACTCATCAGGGAGGTCTGTTGCACTTTCCGATGCATTGAATTGTTCAACAATCTCTACTTTCGGGGTTGGCTCGTGATCTTTTGGAGCACAATCAGCAGTTTTCCCAATGGTGGTGATGGATTCTACTCGAGGTGTTAGAGAACATGGAGAATAGAAGGTAGTGGAAATGAAGAGAGTGAGAAGATTTGAAGACAGAAGTAAGAAAAGATAGAAGAGGTTAGAAGAGAAAGATCTTGAATTGCGAGGGGAATCCATGGAAATCTGATTTGGATTGCTTAGAGTTGAAGATGAAGGGAATTGTATATATGAATTTGTTGGGATTGAAGTCAAATTACTAATATATTATGTATGATTACATTTAATCACGCAAAAGACGAGAGTTGGTGCCTGCGACACTTCCTTAGAGGTTAACCTATTGTAGCAGGTAGTGGGATCTTAAGAAAGGTCAACACTGTGTGAGTGAAGTCCAAATCTATGTTAATTAGGCACATGCATAGAGAAGTGAGAAGTTTTGTGATTTCTGTTGATAAGTATTTCTTAACATAAATTAATCCGAAGTGGTCTTTGTATCAAGTTTGCTGTAAATTTTTTTTTTTCATCGTTACTAACAACAAACTCGGAGCAGATAAAAATCCAATAGTTCCTGCAGATGAGTTTTCCCATATTCGTTAACCGAAAGTAGAAAACGCAAATTATAGAATTATAGAACAGGGGTTGCAAAATCAAAGCAAGAGTTTTCAGATCCTTACGAAAGGTACATGGTAGTTACAAACTGCAGAACTCCATTCATATGGTCTTTTTCCCAGAATGTTTCTCTCTTTTTTTCATCTCACCCACCAATCCCCTGCGTTTTGGGTGTATTTTCTAGCTTCCAATCTAAAAAATTTTTAGACACTACATGCTCACATCATGTTACAAATCAATGAATAACTGGCTTCAGAGGATGAGCTCTCAATTGTGACAAGTCCAAGCTTGCATCTAGCTCTTCGTCTAGTTCTCCAACAATGCCTCTGCAAGGTAAGAACAATCAGAAGACGGCTTGCAAAAAACTATAGATATTAGTCAAACACAAAAGAATTATGATCTAAACGATATGCAGATGGCAAAGAAAAGTAGTACATGTTGTCTCCCCTGATGATGTAGAGACCCAACACAAGTTGCTGTACACCTTCCTACAATTCAGAACTGGGATCAATTGTATTATGAAAAATATGGAAACACAACTGTGTTAATATTGAACTAAAATACATGACACATAGCCCCTGTTTGATGGCCATTATTTCCAAAAAAATGATGTTTTGAATAATGATTTTTTCCGAGAATGTTTGGTTAAAAAGTAGGGAAAAGTTTTGGATTTACGCGCAAAATATTTTATTATGTGAATGTGTGGTTGGAAATGAATATGAGAATTAAAGAGCTTTGTTTTAAATGGAGACAAACAGGGGCATAGGAAAATAAAAGATGTAACAAGAAGAAATGATAAGAATTGATTAATATTCAACTTGAAGGTGCATATAACACAAAGGTCTACTACAAAAGCAGGGAGGTTAGCAATTTAGCATTTAACAAGTTCCACCCACGTTCACCACCTGTGAAGCGCACACACTCCTCAGACACATGCCACGTGATGTGTTCTATTTTTGATATACTTACTAAAAATTTTCACGATGGACACTTTCTTGAGGCATGTCCTATATATTCTATGTTTTAAACTTCTAACATACAACGTACATTTCCTCAACATTTCATAGGACGGGATAAGCCCAAATTGTTAATTCTGGAATATCATAATGTGCTAGCATAAATCTACCTGAAAGATAGGATGGATACATGTTATTCACTGAATTCTTTTCATTCAGTAAAATCTATATTGAGAGCAGCTTAAACTTTCTAATAGCAAGCAATGCTGTACAAAATACATGTTTGATCCTTGTAGGAGATTAGGAACAGACCTTTGTGGAATACACCCGTTCATGAGACTCATCAAGAATTATATTAGTAGCCTGGTCAAAACCTTTCAGAATTCCCTGCAAGAAGAATTGGTTGTTTAGTAAAAGAAAGATTTCACTACCAAATATTCTATTATTGAAGCTCAAACGTAAAGGCTCACCACTATATTTCGCCCATCATTTGTTATCACTGAAATTGTTTCTGAGAATCACAAGGAACCAAAATAAAAAGCATAAAATAGAGATGTAATTGGAAGCAAATTACTTGTCAAGAACATTATGAAATTAGAGTGGGAAAAGAGAGAGAGGGTATTGAAATGCTTATAAACTACATAAAAGATGCAGTATACCCAGTTCTCTAGAGTTTTAAATTAAGTTGCCCATGACACCTCATTCAGTTCAGGCCAAGCCAGTAATTTGACAGTACAGGAAATATAATTGCTGGGGGAAGTACTTCTGCCTTATCAGAGGCAGCCATGGGGGATTTTCCGCAACGAACCAAAGCCTGAGAGATCAATGCCTCATGGAGGTAGTTGCTTTTATATCAGTCAATCAACGATATTGTATAAAATGTACCTTTAACACTTCAGCTTTGCAGGTCATTACATCAAAGACTACAATGCTTTAAGATGCTATCCCTAACACAGTTTGCCAGCAGGATGTTACGACAAAGAATCTAATTGAGGTACTTAAGAACTATTCAAAATATCTCTAACACTTCAGCTTTGCAGGTCATTACATCAAAGACTACAATGCTTTAAGATGCTATCCCTAACACAGTTTGCCAGCAGGATGTTACGACAAAGAATCTAATTGCGGTAATTAAGAACTATTCAAAATCTCCAGAGTTAAGGGGGAGGCCAACGGGGAGCATAATAAACACTACACCGTTCATGTAGTATATTAGCACTATAACATCCAGTTTATAAACAACGGTAATTCCTGAAAAGAACACGCAAATGAGATAACATTATATATCAGTCGTGGATCAGTATAGGTTTAAGATTGCATACGGTCAACAAGATTCTCAAGTCCAAGCCCACTAGACATCTTCTGATCTCAAATACAAATAGGCAACAATTCTTTTTAAGTTGCTGATGCTTGGACTTTTGCAAAGCCTGCTTCAATGAAAATCAAACTAGTTTTTAGTCATTTTACAATTCTAAAAAGCTGAACCAGCCAGAAGATAAAACTCAGAGAAAGAAAAAGAAAATGCCTCAAATTAGACCGATTAAAAATGAAAACTAATAGAACTATGAGGATAAATAACTTTTCTATTTTGCTTTAGAGGCAACATATAGTGACTATTTCACTGGTCATAATCAGCTTCCAGAGGTCCAAATCAAGGTCCGACAAGAATCACCAGTATGTAGTAGCCACACGTCTGTTTAATTAAAAGTCAAAACAAGCAATAAGTCGATTGGAAAACATAGATCTAGGGAATATTTGCCTACACTATTAACGTTCATAATTACTAAATATATTTCCTTATATTTTTAACAGTACCTAGAATATGAACTAGATTGAATTACTAGGGAAACACAGGTTAAAGAAAATTCCTTGTTACTTACCCCATCAGTAGGTAGGTTTATGGCTCAAAGTTAATAAATAGTTGCGAGAAACTAAGATTCTTACCACCATTCACATATAATACATATTAAGAATGTAAATATCCAAAACAAAGTCTCCAAAATAGATGAACGCAGAGCCCCACCACACGCAGACGCAAACAAAACATATCAACAGTAATTATACTTCTGGACTGGCAGCATTAGGACATTCAAGAAAAAAAAATCCGAAATAGGAAAAATATTACTGCAGGATTGAGATATTCGTAAAATCGAACGATGTCTTCTTTTCAATTCTCAGGAGCAAGACTAAAAAACCTAAGCTGTAAACATTAAAAAAAAATGCAGATTTCGGCACAATTTGAAATAAAAATAAAATACTTCTCCTTCATACCTAGAGAAGAAAATTAATCCGCCGGGAGAAGAAGTGCGAACTTTTACCGTACAACTTGTTCGTGTACTGGAAAAGCTGAACTGAAGCAATTGCCACACACTGAGCAATAAAATGGAAGAAAGAAGAGGACTGGATCAACTGTATAATGGGCCCATCTTATTATGGGCTAGTCTTATAAAGGCCCATGTTTTAGTATAACTTTTTAAAGTTTAAACTATCACTTTTACCATTAATTTTCTATGCTTAAAGACCCATTGTGACAAACTATTTTTTACCCATCTGTATAGAGATATTATTATTAAGAGGGTGTCTGGGCGCCATTTATTTTTATCAAATAATTGATTATTGTACCCTTTTTTTCAAACCTTCAGTGCCACTGTGAGAGAACTAGTCCACATTTGCGGCTCCCAACGAGTTGAATTTTGCTGGCAACGAATAGATTTTTGCTGAAAAGCTTAAACAGACAGGCCCTAAATAGATTTCTTTCTCAAAATAAAATTTTGAACGTTTCTATTTTACTCGAATGCAAGGGCTGTACTTTATTATCTTCATGACCAATTGAATTTTCCCTTTTGTTTACTTTAATTATATTTACTATCTTCTACTTTAGACGAGTGAGAGACATTGTTTAGTGACTTTCATTTTTTTCGAAAATGACGAAATCTATTAATGCTAACTTAGGAAATACCTCTTTCGCGGGTATAATCTTGAGAGCTCTACATTTTGTTGAATTTCAGAAAATAGGTCAATTGTTTCAAATTTATCACAATTACACCACCTTCTTGATTGAGATTGCATTCACATGGCAAAATTCAAGAAGTGACACTAAGGATTGAGATACTCGTTCAATCGGAAAATATCTTTTTTTCTTCTTATTTTACAGACCTGGTAAATATTTATATTTCAATTTCCTGTATGGAGAAATCCTCTATTCTCTACACTTAATTGGCAAGAAAAAGAACTAATTAACCAACATTTATGTAAAGTGTTGTGTTGAACTGCAGCAAAGAATGTAAGTGACCAACCCAAAAACAAACTTAATCTACTTCAAACATTGTTCAAAATGTACCATCAAACTTCCCAGTTAACAAGCATAGAACTGGTGAAAGAAACATCCTACGAATGAGTAAGAGTTGCAACCATCTACATATTCAGCTTGAAGCAGCAGCTCTAGGTGTCGTGTGAAGATCTCTTGATCCAACTCTGCCATGTCCAATTCCAGTATGTTGGTGGTGTCCTAAGTCAGATATGGCGTGCCTCTGATTAGCCAGTGGACTACGATTATTCTGCCTGCTACTTGACATTATAGTATTCGAACGATCAGTTGAATCAACTGAATTTGGCTCCCACGAAGAAGAAAGCCAGTGTTCCTGACTGCCAACAAAGCTATTGCTGCCTGATGATTCTTGCTCTTCCAAGTCTTCATCCCCTGTCACCATACCCCTTCTTACAGTTATGTATTTGTGAAAGCTTGGCTGCATCAAATCATCATTAGCCACCACCTCAGATTCCACAATGGGGTCCCTCTTGGTTTCTAATCTTGTCTTCTTATCACTCTTAACAAAATGCTCAGCAGTGGGGTTTCGCATTGTGTCCAAGGAAGTACTGAACAAGTTGGAACCAGTACTCGAGTTAAGGTCAGCAACTGCTTCAAGAATAGAGCAGGCTTTAGTAACACTAGGTGGGAGAGTAAAGCCGGGGTTCAGGGGGTTCTTTTGGTGGAAGTTTTGGATATCTTCAAGCAATAGTGCAGTGTAGGATGGAGTAGGATTTAGCGGAGTTTCAGGTTTGTTGTCTAGGTCTTGGGATTCTCTAAAGGATCTGCTTCTCGTCATTGTCTGAGGTTTAATGTTTTCAGGCCCTGAAGGTACCCTTTTTAACGCAAAATTGTCTGTAACTCCTTGTGATCCCTTACTCTTTTCTGCAATCAACTGCGGCTGCTCCTTGGCTTTGCAATTCACTAGATTGTGATCGATTTTCTTGCTTCTAAGTTTGAGCTCAGCTCTTGTACTTTCTGCATTTGCCTTCTCTGTAACAACCTACAAGCATCAGGTTATTTGTAAGATATATGCAAGAACTCTTTAAATTGAAGTAATTTATAAAATTATTAGTCATTCTAAATGACATGAAATCATATGATGTCTAGACAACAAATTTGAAGCATAAAAAATCACATTAGTTCTAAACACCACTTGGAAGTTACCTATGAAACTATAGCCATTTTTCATAATATAGAAATTCATGGATCAGTATTTAATGAAACTTCGAATCCTGTCACTTAAAATCTCAACATATCAAGGCAGTGGATAACAGTTCAATGAAGCTTTCAGTTTATGCCAGACAATACCTTGCATTTGAGAAAACGAAGGCTTTTTGTCTTCTTATCATTCATCTAATTCAATATCCACACCAATTTCATGGTTAAAAGGACACAATGGTTCGTGTTGCCATTTCAGAAAGGCAGTTTTTAAGTTACAACAGTAGCCGAAAGGTCCAGCGTCACAAATTTCTCAATTTCACAGATTAACTCAAAAGTAAAAGAATTTGCAACTAAGCATTTCCAAGTTCTTTCTGTAAAATACAACTTCAACTGATAAATCAGTTCCCTAATCCATCAGCTCAAACTCTTAGAGAAGGTGATTCAACAGAGAAGCCTCGAGTTCAAGTCTTACCTCCACTCGTATATGAAAAAAACTATGCAAATCTTAGTCTTTTTCATAAATAAGAATTTGGTTGCTTAAACTTCTAAACGAGCTGGTTCAAAACAAGCTAATAGAGGTGTTATCATGTGAATTAGTATCAAACAGTTTCCTTTTAACTGGATAGTTGATTCTATGTACTTCAATCAAGAAACTAACAACCACGAAGGAGGGCGGGTAGTACTCCTAAAGCATAACACAGTACTTGTCCTGCCTATGTAATACACATGTCAATTCAACAGCGGCATGGGAGTACTATCTATTGAATGCACACGTCAATTCGAAAGTGGCACCAGTACTAAGTACTTTGGGAATACTAGAAATGTTTTCAAATATAGATCTTCAATAAAATATATGCATACCTGTGGCAGAATGTTGTTGGCAGGTTTAACTCCTGCAGGAAAAGGCATCTGTTCCATAACAATGTTGGTATCAATCTCACTAAGAGGGTTTCTTCTATAAGGAGATTGCTCTGCCTTTCTTGAATTGCTTTGGCTCAGGGATACGGGTTGGTTTTGACAGGAATTGACATTCTGATTCTCGTTCAACCCCTTGACATTAGCCCGTGCAGGGGATTGATTACGAGGCGAAGCAGCACTCCTCGAACCCACGGTGGAATCCACACCAGCAGTTCTCTTTACTTGGATCCTTTTAACTGCCATGGTCGAATTAGGCTCTGAGCCACCAACGCCGCCAGGACCTGCATTAGTACTCTTATCCATTGCCAAAGACGACACTGTGGCAGGCACAGAAACCATCTTTCCCGGCCTACAAGTGCCATTATTAGAATTTGCAGCCAACGAATTAGCACCATTAGAGGTAGTAATTGGAGATTCAGATCTTTTACCAGGAGATCTGCTTACCCTCCTTCCACCTCCGCTCTCACCTCTTTCTTTGCTGCCGGAACGCTGCTGCCCCGCCTGGTCTCTTTCTCGACTGGGAGTCCTCCTCCGCCCCTTAGAGGCGGATCCACCAGTCCTGGACTGGCGCTGGCTCTGTCTATGGCGGTGCTCTTTCCCCCTCATCACACCATCATAGTCACCATCCGCAACATTTTCTCGATCAGCACCATTTTCGTTATCAAAATCAAAACTCCTTTTTGAACCAGAGTACTTTCTTCCCCTTTGAAGATTACCAGCATTTTCTGATGACACCAAGGAACCGGAAAGCCCGGCCTTCCCGGTTGAAGAATTCCTGCTAAGCCTTCCACATTGTATCAAAATAGCATCCACCTCTTCTTTAGTACAACTCGAGGTCCTCACCGGAGTTGCAATTATGACACTTTTCCCATTACCTAATTCACCATTTATTTCATTACCCGTGCTCGAATTTTTCCCCATTTCGACTACTTCGGTTGCCTTTCGTACTTCAGTTTTCTCCTCTTCAGACAGCCTTTCGACTTCGTGGCTCTTCCGGTGTTTCGTAACAAAATTATGTTTCATCACAATTTCTTCTTCTGCCTTCTTTTTCTCCAATGGAGTATTGGACATCTGTGCTTGTGGCTTTAAAATTGGACCAGGAGAAGAAGAAGAAGTGCTTTTCTTGCTTAAACAACTTCCCATTTTCGCTCACGGCACACTGAAAAGTCAATAATGAGATTAAAAAATAGAAAGTAGAGCGAGAGAGAGAGAGAGACAACCCAGAATCAAATTGTAGAGGAACGAAAGAGAGATAAATGGGGGTACAGCGTTCAAGAACAAGAAACCACTTATTTGAAAGAAAGGAAAAAGTTACTTTTTGGAGGGGGTGGGGTTGGACAAAGGGAGAGAGAACAGATTCAAATTTGACAGGGGGCAATGAATATAGCCGTTAAAGGAATAATTTGTAAAGTAGAATTTTAGAAATAGATTTATTGCAGAAGTTATAAAAATATGTTTTTATGGCACACGTTACAATCAACACAAAAATTGTTGATTATGTTACAATAATCATTTTCATTGCAAGAGTAAACTTTGAATTATAAATTTTACAAATAACAAATGATTGCATATTAGTTTTTTTTTCCTAATTTCGTATGTTCAACTGAGAAAAATAGCGATGAATAATGTCTCTATCGATTGTTCAATATGGCAAACACGCTCAAAGCAGTGGCAAAGCCAAAATCTTTACAATAATAATATACATATATAAATTTTTCAAATTTTTTTACGTAGAATTTTGAATTATTTAATGTGGGGTGATACTCTCCCAACCCGTGTCTCCAAGTTTTTTCACCCATGTTAGGTTAAGCATCGTCTTCACAAAATATAACAAAGAAGAAAATGAAATTTATTTGTAAAATTCATCACACGTTCATCGTATTGAAAGTTAGAGGTTTACTTTCAATTTAAGAATAATGCTCCGTGCAGTTGCATTTATTTTTTTTTTCTCCTTTTTTTTGTGTGTCGATTGCATGAAAAAAAATTCCATATTTGGCCCAAGAAAAGACAAAAAGTTGACGGAGCTAGGAAATAAAAATTGATATTGGTGTGGACACCGGTGATGGATTTTTTGGCATGCAGGTGGTTGGTATCGAGAGTTTTCTTGGGGATTATTTTTTGGGGAGAGGTTGCAAGTGATTGATTTGGAAGGAAATGAGATTGTTTTAAAGATTTTCGTGACGCACTAATGACGTGATAGTTCATCAACTAGGGTCAGCTCCTCACAATTAGATGGTAAATATAGCATTGCGTATCTCTCGATCGATCATGGAATCTACATAAACTTCTACCAACCCCTACTTGCAATTCAATTGTTTATTGTTTGCGAGTGCACTAACGTGTAAACATCGACCATTCATCAGTCACCTTTCGCATCACCATGCCAAATTTAAGTCAAGGAATGCGACATACTAATTATATTGGTACAACAGACTATGATTTCTTGTCAGATACATGTCGTGCTATTATGGTGGGCAATCAGGTTAGGTTTCTAAATTACTCGTGTGTTGAGCACGTGATAACTTTTCAGAAGCTACAATTACCTTAGCGCGAAAATTGATATGACCGCCGTAATGATTGTTTTTGAAATTTCAAAACTTTGCCTATTTGTTTTTCACGCTCAAATCTTATGCATATATTAAAGGATGATTCCATTCATAGCTGTATTCCCTTCTTCATTCCTCACTCTCTTCATCGTCATCATCTTTTCCGGTGAAAGCTATCCGATGAATCTCTTGAACATCGACAACTACCCGGTGTAAGTTCTAGCCTCCAGCTTTCGGTATATATGGCATAATTGGTACAACATTTTTAGCTGGTAGAATGATTGCTCGTCTTGTTCAGTAGATTACTCGAAGTTGTCAGGTTTATTCAATTTGCTCTTTCTTAGACTCAATTGAAAAATTTTGTGAATATACAAAAGCACATGCACTTTTTTATACGGGTGGGCATTGATAAATAAAATGAATATTCATTAAAAGCCATTTCGTGATCACAACAATTTAATATCTTGATGAATATTTAAGTAATTCTTTTTTTGTCTAACACTGAATTTTTTTCATTTATTTTTACAAGTAATTGTATCTTATTGGGTTAATAACCCAAATGGTCACTGAACTTCGTAAAAAAATTTCACGAGATCACTGAACTTTAAAAATCACCCAAATCATCATTGAACTTTGTAAAAGGTTTACACGGGATCACTGAACTTTGCAAAACGTTAATACGGGATCACCGAACTTTAAAATTCATCTTATTCATCACTAAACTTTACAAAAAGTTTTCCAGGCGATCACTAATACCCTAGGAAACCTTTTGCAAAGTTCAGTGATCCTGTGAAATTTTTTTACAAAGTTTAATTGTAAATGGAGTGATTTTTAAAGTTCAGTGACCCCGTGTAAACTTTTTGCAAAGTTCAGTGATGACTTGAGTAATTTTTAAAATTCGATGATCATGTAAAAACTTTTTGCAAAGTTCAATGACTATTTGAGTTATTAACCTTATTATCCAGTCATTTTTAAGGACTATTGATGTCAATTAAATGAATATTTCATTAACAAATTTTCGTTCAATAACATCAAATGTACCAATGTATTGGAAATTAGAGGAGGAATTTATTCAAGAGGAGTATTTTAAATTAAATACTATTTGTGAATGATAGCTGTATCACTGCATATACCTTATAAATACAAGATTTTTATTATCAAAAAATAAATTATTTCTCAATTCTTTTATATTATTCTCTCTTTCTCTTAATTTTATAATAGTTTTTATATATTTATATATGATTTTCATTGACAAATAAAAAAAATTCCGGTGGTTGCCTTTCCCTTGCTCTTTAAGGAAGCTAAGGAGTGGTTCGATTTAGGCCATTTTTGACCAATATAAAAATCTAACAATTCATAAGGCTTTGATAAAACCTAAAATTTGGGTTCTTGGAATGAGTTTTGAGCATTAGCTTTAGTGTCATGTGCTTATTGTGTTTACCCCCATCTTTTAAGAAAAATGTTAGGGGTGGACAAAATGTCTAGACTCAACTAAACCAAATCAAATCGAATGGTTCGGTTCAATTCTATCAAAAAATTAATGGTTTTGGTTTTTTGAATCCAGAGTCATTTGGTTCCCAACAAATTTTTTTTTTTAGTTAGAAAAAAAAAATTATGTAAAAAAAAAAAATCATGTGTAATTTTATTTTATTTTTTACGTATTAACCCGGCCTGTAATTCGGTTCTAGATCCGTCCCTGATTCTAGTTCTAGAATCGAGAATCAGGACTAGAACCAAATGTTGCGGCATGCTGGCACCGTACTCTATCACGTCGTGGAGAAAACTATTTCAAGATAAAAAAAATGAAATTGTTTAATGAATTATTTGTGTTTTACACAAATAGATTTGTGTTCTACACAAATAAAGGAAAATCCAATAAACATTCATGGAGTATTAAACGGTTAATAGTTGTTTGTAAAATTGAATTATAAAAGTTTTGCATGATCCATCCTTTATTATAAGGGTATGCCGTCAAATTTGCTACAATTAATTTTGTGAATTATTGTTAATACTTATTAAACAATCTTTTGTATAAGAATGAAATTTGATTTGTGTATTCAAATAATTTGAACTTGATAAATGTTTGATATTTATTTCTTATTTAGATATATATTAATAATTTATGAATATGGTGTAAGTCTGAAAATTTAAGAAATGAAATTAGAACTGAACAAAACCAAAATCAAATCAAACAAGTACCGGATTGTTAAGTTCAATTTGATTCCATATCTTAAAAAAAAAATTCATTTGTTCGTGATTCGATTAAGTTCTCTTGAAATCAGAAATAAATGGAACCATGTCCAACTCTAAAAAAAATATCATTAGATGTAATTACTTTAGGAGGTGTCTTTAATTAAGATTTTAGTAGATTGTAAATTCTAATGAATTTCGTGAATTTGAATAGGGATTTCTAGAAATTCCATAAAGATCTTATTAAAAATGGCGAAATTTCAAAAGATTTCGTTATATATATTTTTATGTTTGAAATCCATCCAAACCTTTTAAAATTCCTATATTAATAAAATCTTTATAAATCTACTAGTTATCGATGATACCTAAATTTGAATAGATTTCATTAAAATTCATTAAAATCTTAATTGCAGACACCTAAACTTAGAAAGATTTTTAACATTCATCAAAATCTCAATTGCGCACACCTTAGCGACTAATCACTAAAAAAGAGGAAAAAAAAAGGAAATAATTTCATTACATATTAGACCATATATCTATATAAGTTAACTGTAGAGTTCCATGTATAATTTTTTTTAAAAAAAAGTGGACTTGCTTTATTATCAAGTGACTCAATTCATTTTAAAGATGACAACATGACGAGTGGTGCCGGGGCCGTTCTCCCCCCCACCTAAAATTCCTAAGGCGAGACATGATTAAAAGAAAATCTTTATGTCCCTGTCTCATTTACTCATTTAGCCTGTGTTTGGTAAACATTCTTTCAAATTTTTTTTTCTAATACTCATTTTTAATCATATTTTCACGATAAAATATTTTTCATGTAAATTTAATTTTTTTTCTAAATTTTAATTACGCATTCTCCAAAAAGTTATTATTCAAAATTTTATTCTTAAAAAAAAAAAAAAAGAATGTCAAATAGGACTTTATTTTTATTTTTATTTTTATTTTAATACGTTATAAATTTAAAACATAAAATAAAAATGAAGAAGATGGAAATCAAATTTTTCTTTGGAAAACCAAAAGGTCAAGTGTGTCCATTGAGTTCATTCCCAAATCTCGAAAAAATCCTTTATTTGTCTCCGGAATCAAGAATTCACACATTTAGCCCTAGTTTGGCATATTATTTCTCATTAAATTATAATTAATTTTTTTTTTCTTATCAATTATATATTCTCTAATAAAATAATATTACACGTAAAAAAATTTCTTTCTTTTTTAACCGTATATTTTCAAAAAAAATTAATATTTCTTTCGTTATAATGTGAAATAATGGGAACAAAGAGACTATTAAAAAATTAGTATTCCTTTCATTGCTTAGCATCTACTGAATATTTGCTACGAGAGAGAGAGAGAGAGAGAGAGAGAGAGAGAGAGAGAGAGAGAGAGCTTGTTTGATTCAAAATCTAGTCGGCATAACGAACAAGACTTTACCTTTTTCCTGTGTCTCTTTAATGCTAGGCCACATTCGTTTCCTACCGACTTAGTGGGAAGCTCTCTTTGTACTGGTTGACTCCTCGAGTCTTCGTCAAGGAGATTCCTTCCGCTTTACTTAATGAGGGATTTACTCCTTTTTCAAATTCCGTACACTTCTGTCGTCATTCATTTGTTCTTTTCATTTGTAGGGAAGTTTCCATTTTTCTTTGAACTTCATTCATTCCCGTATGAAACCTCAATAGCAAAGTTATCGTATCACTCGTGGTATAAATTCGTGCATGATTAGAGTTTTGATATATTTGACAATTTGGAGTTGAGGGAGAGATGATGGGCACCGTGGAGAAGAAGCAAACAAAAGCTAAAGTTCCAGCATTGATAGATTTGGTATTTTCTTGGTCAATACCTGCTGTGATGAACAAGGATCTTTACAAGAATAAGGTTTGTTTACTGCAATTCTCTCCTTTTGCATTTTGATTTAAATCGTATTGGTAAAATAGATGGTAATGTTTACTCCGAGTGGACACGATAAAAACTTCCCACATTCGGGGCAGGAGATCAATTTCATGTAATGTTTTGCTTGATTTTATCTCTCTCAAAATCTCTCTAAAGACTGTGTATGTTGACAGGTTGATCAAATTCCGGAGACATTCTCATCAGCAGAACATTATTTCCGGTCATTCATCAATCCACTTATCGAAGAAACACATGCTGATCTTCGCTCTAATTTCACAACTCTGAATTACGCACCTCTACGTGAAATATTTGATGTCAAGGAGCATAAAGATTTTCGGCTTCCCAATAATTTGTTGTATACCATAACATTGAGAAAATTGAGTGACAAGGAGAAAGGCGAAGCATATGAACCCGAGGTTGGAGATTTAATCGCTTTGACAGATGCAAAACCGAAATGTGCTGATGATCTGGACAGGCCTAAAAGATCTTATACTATTGCTCTAGTTCAAGGCATGAGAGGTGACGGTCTGGTTCAAAGCATGAAAGGTGATGGTTCGTTCAGAATTCCAGTCCTGTCTTCGAAGCCTATCGTGTTTGAGAAAGCAGAGGGTGGAAAGAGGGACAAACTTTTTGCTGTTTATCTTACAAACTTGACGACAAATATCCGCATATGGCAGGCATTGCATCCAAACCTGACCGGCGAAAGTATGAAGATAATTAATTCAGTGCTGAAAGTCGATGCAAAGGTAGGATCTATGAAGATTATCTCTTTCTTGATTATTAAATAACTGATCAGACTATATATATGTTTGCCTATTTTTAAAGTAATTTTTTTAGAAAGTAAGGGATTTTAAAATCCATTAAAATTTAGGTTCAAGCTTAAAAATACCTATAACATAATCTTTTGAAATTTCACCATTTTTATTGAGATTCTCATGGAATTTGTGGTAATCTATTCAAATCCACGAAATTCATTAAATTTTATAATCTTTTAAAATCCATGAAAACCTTAGTTGAGGATAATCCGGTAAGTTTAGACTTCACTTTCAAATGAAAAGTTTTGTTAGTGAAAAGAGCAACTTCGAAAATAATGTATGGTAAAATGAGTGATTTAAAAGTAAGTTTAACTAACTTTTCGAATGACCAAACATGCTCTATATTTGGAAGCGAACTCGATAATTTATACAAATTAATTAACTGCATGCAGGCAGAAGAAAATTGTACTCTATGTTCAGCTGTGGAAGATAGGAGTATTCATATATCAAGGTTAAGGAAATCCATTGGCACTTTAGGTATGGATGATTCACAAGAAGCTGCTATCTTAAATTGTATTGTTACAAGAGAATGTCATCATCAAAATGATGTGAAACTAATATGGGGTCCTCCGGGAACTGGAAAAACAAGAACAATTTCGTCATTATTATTCACACTGTTGAGGATGAAATGTAGGACATTGACTTGTGCTCCAACTAATGTTGCTGTTATAGGAGTAGCAAAAAAATTACTGAGTTTGCTGAGTGGTACACTATTATACGATACGTATGGACTGGGCGACATTGTTTTATTTGGTAATGGCGAACGAATGAAAATTGATGACCATGAAGATCTTTATGACGTGTTTCTGGATTACCGTGTATCTGTGCTTTATAGATGTTTTGCTCCATTTTCCGGGTGGACGGCTAGTATAGTCTCACTCACAAGCTTGCTTGAAGATCCGGAAGAGCAGTATCAACAATACTTGTTAAAAGAAAAGCAAAAGCAGGAAAAAGATGATGGTGATGATGATAGTGACACTAGTGACGATGATGACAATGAGGATCAGACACACGAGATTCGTTTTGGAGGGAGGGGCAGGAAAGAAACAGAGACTGACAATGGAAAAATGAAAGATATATTAAGAAAGAAATATATGAAGGAAATCTTTCGTACCTTGAGGGAAAACAAGAAAAAATCAAAGCAACGGGAGTCTACGCAAAAAAGAAGTCAGTTGAAATGTGATAAACGAAAGGATGAGAACAAAAAAATGAAAGAAAATGAAAGGGAAGAAGGTGTCATTTTATGGACATTTGAGGAATTTATGACCAAGAAATTTGATTCATTAAGAATGCGGGTAATGCTTTGTGCTGAAGGCCTGTACACACATTTGCCGAGTTCTATTCTCAAGCTGGAAGTAGTACAAAACATGGTTAGAGTTCTTGAACTGCTACAAACTCTAAAAACTTCAATCCATAATGTTTCTGTTTCAAAAAAGGATTTAAAACAAGCCTTAAATGGAAAGGGAGAAACAGAAAGAACAATGAAATTCAGTAATTTATATAAAACCAGATTAGAGTGCCTTGAAATACTGAAATTCCTCCGCGATGGATTCTCTGTCCCACAATTTACAGAATACTACGAAATTAAGAATTTTTGTCTACAATGGGCACGCTTAATTTTCTGTACTGCCTCAAGTTCAGCAAAATTGCAAAGTGGTGATATGATACCATTTGAATTAGTAATCATTGATGAAGCCGCGCAGCTAAAAGAATGTGAATCCACTATCCCCTTACAGCTCCCTGGTCTTCGCCATGCTATACTTGTTGGAGATGAGAAACAACTTCCAGCAATGGTTCAAAGCAAGGTTTCGTAATCCTTATTAGTTCATTTACTATTCGTTAAAATTTAGAATGATATTCATTCTTAATTGTATCGTGTATGGTATGGGCAGATATGTGAGAACGCTGATTTTGGGAGGAGTTTATTTGAGAGACTAGTGCTATTAGGACACAGAAAGCACCTTCTTGGGGTTCAGTACAGGATGCATCCCTCAATAAGCTTATTTCCGAATAAGGAGTTCTATGGTAAACAGATTAAAGACGGACCAAATGTCAAGGAAAGAGCTTATGGAAGGTGCTTTCTTAAAGGAAACATGTTCGGCTCCTACTCATTCATTGATGTGACCAGTGGGAAAGAGCAATTTGATAACAGGCATAGTAGGAAAAACATGGTCGAGGTGTTTGTTATTGCAGAAATTGTATCTAACCTCTATAAAGGTAACTGTAGCTATCTACCTGTTAATCTCACCAAGTATTGTTACAGAAACTTCGTAAGGAACGTGGTAGAATCTATTTTTGGTTTATTCTAACTGTTTCTCATTGTATACCTTTTCACAGAATCCCTTTCCTCAAAGCAAAAGGTTCGTATTGGTTGCTTATCACCATACAAAGCACAAGTTTTTGCAATTCAGCAAAAACTTGGTAAGACGTATAGCACAGATGCAGACGAAAAGTTTTCGGTAAATATTCGCTCTGTTGATGGTTTTCAAGGTGGTGAGGAAGACGTGATAATAATGTCTACTGTTAGATGCAATGGGAATGGATCAGTGGGTTTTCTTTCTAATTGTCAAAGAACAAATGTGGCTTTGACTCGAGCAAGGTATTATTTATATAGTAGAAACTATTGCATGTAAAAATCAATATATACCTTATTTATTAAATGCAAAAATGGCTCTTTCTTCAGGTACTGCCTCTGGATATTGGGCAATAGTTCAACTTTACTAAAGAGTGGCTCTGTTTGGAAGAACTTAGTTCAAGATTCCAAGAATCGCGGTTGCTTTTATAATGCTTTCGAGGACAAAAATATGAAACAAGCAATTACTAGTGCCTTGGTTGAGATTGGCGAGCTTAATTTGTTGTTTGACACCAACTCCTCGTTGTTTCAAAATGCAAAGTGGAAGGTACACTGCTATTTATCTCTACCGACAAGCTTCTTTTGATACAAACAAAAAATGACAATCTACTTCATATCTTGTAACCTATAACTTGGATTCATTTACACATTTCTAGCCTATTTAGTAAAAAGGATCGGATGGCACCGATCAGTATTAAGGAAGAAAAGATGCTAAAATCTTGTTAATTATTCCGTTTAATCATGTCTTGTAGTGTGTAGCAAACATGCAGTCCTGGTATATGTGTGCAAATATCTTACTCTTGTATATTGGCAAAAGTTACTTACCGTTTAACCTTTTGTTCTTCATTTTAATGGTAATGTGGAGTTTAAATCAATGAAGTATGCATAGGGACACAAAACATCAAACGAACATAACATAGTTGTTTTTCTTTCAGTAACAGACTACAACTAACTAAACTAATTCGTTCGAAGAGATAAATTACATTCTTAAAATAGCGTAAAGGAGTTGCTTTTCTGTTAGTATTTATAATACCTAAAGTTTTTCTATGTCCAATATATGCACAGGGGTCTCTGGTTTGTTAAACTTACTGATAATACCCCGGGTTTTGTTTATGACAGGTTTGTTTCACTGATGAATTCTCAAGATCCATGTCTAAGATTAAAGGCATAGATATTCGTAAAGAAGCACTCTCTCTTCTGGAGAAGCTATCAAGTGGCTGGCGTCAGCTGCACAAACATGAAATTCTCAGCAACTTGGATGGCGCTTCTTCTCAGTTCTTGGAAATATATGATGTCAAGGAGTCATTCAAATTGATCTGGACTGTAGACATTCTCAGGGAAAATTTGAATGACATTCAAGTCATCAAAATTTTGAATGTTTTGCCAAGTTCTGAGATAATAACGTTGGCCAAAAAACTTGACGAGCTATTTGGGAACTATACGGTTAATTATATGAGTCGTTGCATGTGCAAGCGCCTTGAAGGGTATGTGATTTCTCTCCTTTTCATTTTTTATTTTTGACATTGATAAATTGAATAACTTCTTCAACAAACTTATATCTGTGTTGCTATAAAAGCTAAACTAAGATGTCATCAAGTCAAGCATGCCACTAGGAACCAGATGCTTGATTAATTTGAGCATTTTACTGTTGGAACACTTTCCGGGTCGCCCTAATGTTCTTATAATGAATTTTAAGTGGCGGGTTTTTGTTCTGTGTATGTGAGGTGTGGGAAAAACCTTGCACCTTTCACTTATAGTGAATTTGCCAAGGTAAGTGGACATAGCTCTTATATTGAGAGTGAACCACTATGGAATTGTGTATTCCTTTGCTTGTTTTTGGACTGCCATTCTTTTTGTTCTTGCTCTCATAAGAAGGGATTGTTATTTAACATTAAACATTAGAATATTGCCTAACGAGAAATGATTCATGTAGTTAATTCTAAAATTGATCAGCAATATGGCTTTGTTTATTGTCGTTCACTGCAGGAACAAGGTACTTCCAATGACATGGCCAGCGAATACAAATGCTCCTTCGCACAGTGATGCAACGCATAAGTTAGCAAGTCAACTGGCAGAAGTCAGTCTGCAGGACAAACCAGGTACATCAAAGCGACATTATCGGGTGAGTGGATGGACAAATTATTCAACCCTGAAACTTCTTTTTATTTTTTCCATAAATTTGTGATCTTGATGACAATTTCTGTTTTTGTTCTTGAAAAACAGGCACGGCGCGGGAGAAATAGCCATTGAAGCTGACTTATTCACATAAAATTGGCTTTTTTTTTTTTCTCATGAGAAGTATAAGCAGCAAGCTTTTAAGTTATAATGTTGATGTGTTGTCTATTTTGTTTATGGAGCACAGTCAAGAACAAAGCTTTTTAAACCAAATTCTGCAGAGAATTGGTATATATGGAAACAGATTAGCAACATCTTTGCTTATATTTGATGTAGAAGTGGAAATTTCTTTCACTCAGTACTTTATTAAGAGATGTTGCGGTTTTTATTTATAATTTTTAGAATTTTTTTGGGATCAGGACAGGTCTGTAAAGAGTTCGTTTCATAAAAAATCTTGGACCATGTCAAGTAGAGTATGCTAACTCTGCCTTTTTTAAATCTCCATCCAAAATTAGTTAAAAGAGTTTTTATATTGACTAAATTTTTGAAAATTATTTCACTAGTAAAAGTAATTAAGTTGCACAATTTGTTATGGAAATCTAGGCATTTGCACCTTGTACAAAAAGCATAACTTTGTTATAATACTAGTGTGAGCACGTGCGATGCACGTGTTGTATAGTTTAATTGGGTATTTAATAGTGTAGAATGAGAAGGTTTATAGAAGAACAAAATGCAACAAGTAGCAGTTTCATCTATGGAAAATATTAAATGTCACAGTTATGTTAGGTTTTTGTACAGTGCAAGAATAGAGCTGAAAATTAGGACCATGTGCAAAGTGTAATTTACTTAAGTGTACCATTTATTTTNAGAATCACAAAAGTTGGGGGCACCTGCCCCCAGGACCCCCCTTGGGTCCGCCCATGTACATAGTCAAATATTATTTTATAGAAAAATGTGTAGTCGAAAATGAGTTTTGAAAAAATGTATTTTTAAAGAATGTATGTCAAACAGGGGAATATAAATGAAACTTTTAGTAACGATTTAAATATTAAAAATTCGGATCATTACAATACTGATTAACTCTTATATAAACTACTAGTGTGAGCACGTGCGATGCACGTGTTGTATAGTTTAATTGGGTATTTAATAGAAAATTATTTCACTAGTAAAAGTAATAAAGTTGCACAATTTGTTATGGAAATCTAGGCATTTGCACCTTGTACAAAAAGCATAACTTTGTTATAATACTAGTGTGAGCACGTGCGATGCACGTGTTGTATAGTTTAATTGGGTATTTAATAGTGTAGAATGAGAAGGTTTATAGAAGAACAAAATGCAACAAGTAGCAGTTTCATCTATGGAAAATATTAAATGTCACAGTTATGTTAGGTTTTTGTACAGTGCAAGAATAGAGCTGAAAATTAGGACCATGTGCAAAGTGTAATTTACTTAAGTGTACCATTTATTTTAGTTTCGCAAGATGAATATTTGTCAAATGCTGTGAAAAAAACTGAACAGATACAGAAAATACAGACATTGTTGGCTGTAGTACACTGGAAAAAATTTTAATTGAAGTGTAAACTGATATTATCAATATATTTTACTATCAATTAACTTGATTATACAGTCGTGCAGTCAATTTTAAGCTAAATCAATCCACTAAGCTGTCGACAATCCATGATACAAGCTTGTCAAGCCACGAGTTTTTAGCTGCAAATTTTCTAGATGTATTGGGAGTTGTACAATTTATGAACACCAAAAACAATTCATGCACTGCAAATCTACAGAAAGAAAAAAGGATTGATTATATTGTTTTCCCAGATTTGATTCAGCACAAGTTAGTTCAAAATTGTATGTGTTAATATACATAATATATTGTTATAGGTTTAGGTAGATGATAAAAGCACAAAAAAAAAAGGGTAATAAATCAATAAAAATAGTGCTAAATTGGTACCTAATGAAGTCTGTAGCAACAATATTCACTTAGCTTTTGGTCTGATCTCAATCCCTTGAATGATGACACCATTCTTCCAGTTTCCACCTTTTGTCTCTATCAAACTTATTTCCATATCCAAATCTTGTTCTTCATCCACGAAAAACTTTTCCAACTCAACTTGTCGTCTATATAATGCGCTCTGAGGATAAATCACGTTGTCGTCTAGTGTTAATTTCATTTCAGCTTGAATAATTTTCCTTTCCAAATCCCTAAAAAGGTCACAATAAAAGTTCACAAGAATATGAAAAGAGAAAATCAATTCGAGTTACAAATAATCACTATAATGTCCAATATAGAGCATGCATGATGTGTGTTACAATATAGAGTGAAATCATAGTAATTTCGACTCTACCTTCCCGGAGTTCATTCTTCGGGGAACTCCGTTTAAATTATTCCGGTGGATTCTTTCAAATCTACTTCTTTTATGATCTCGTTGGAAATCATATAATAAGCGAAAATTTGAGGCCAGATGTAGGTCTGTTGGCTAGCTAGCAGGTAAACTTTCCTGGGTTTTTAATGGTGGATTGTAGGTTGTAGTTGAGATGTGCATACCTAAGTATTTAAAAAAAATTTATTAAGGATGGAAGCATGAAGACAAGTCTCCATCCAAGCTTGATGGAGGCAAGGAGAAATCCTTCCATCCAAGCTTGGATGGAGGCATTTCTTCATGCCTCCATCCTTGGATGGAGGCATGAAGAAATCCCTCAGTCCAAGCTATGGAGCAAGGAGATATGCCTCCATCCAACTTAGAAAAGGTGATCTTGCTCAGGTATGATTTTACTACTCATATATAAAAAAAAGGTTTTTACAATCCATATGTATTTTTTGTATATTTTCACTTTGCTAATCAATTGCTTTGATTTTTTTCTTTTGGCAAAGATTCTATTAGCTTATTTTTCTTAATTGTTTAAATTATGCATGCACTTCTAGGTTGTAGTTGTGAATGATACAATGAAGAAAGTTGCTGTAAAACTGATTCGAAGAATAGACTTGCCAGCAATGGATGGAGGCAAGGAAACGCTTCTAACACTGCAATACACCTGTCTCTTTGTATTTGCAGTTTTTAAGCTTGTCCATGGCTGAAATTAGGCACTATATTAAGACTTTGTACTCCTCTATAAATTGAAGCTTCCCTGGAGAAGCTACTGCTTTTCCTGCAATATATTACAGTATTGATTAGCTAAAAATAAATGGACAAGATAAAGGAGGAGAATTTGTAAAGTACAGAGGGGCAAAAAGGCAACCTTTTTAAGTGAGCAAATCTCTTCAAGTTTTTGTTGATAATTTCGAACTGTGTTAAGATCAGAGAATCATTTTTCTAACTTGTTAATAATAGCTGAAGACCAATTTTTCTAAATTGTCTCACTCTCTTTCTATTGTCAATACATATTATAATGTTACATTTTTCTCTTTGTTTAGTTACAAAATTTACTGATGTGCTGTAGATATATTATTTTTGAAGCATCAATATAACAAATGAGATCATAACAAATTGCTAGTGCAATTTTTTAGATTTCTATCAGTAAAACTGAAGTTCATAAAGCAGAGAAATATTATCCAACACATACCTTGAACCTTTCATGAGCCTCCTTCACTGTCTTTCCATCTTTGTTCTTTCTCCAATTATAGCCATCTTTCCAGAAGTAGCTCTGTACCTTCCAGTAAAAAAGAAAAAGGGAACCACCTGAAAATATATAAGAAAATTATCATAATTTTGTTTGATGCATAAAATCTGAAAAGAAACAAAGGGCATAGAAGGCATCAGTTTAGACAACAATTTAAATTTCTCATTTTAAAGCAAAATGAATAACAGAAGAAGACATTCAACAATTGTTATTTGATGGAGGCATGGATGGAGGGATTTCTTCATGCCTCCATCCAAGGATGGAGGCAAGGAGAAATCCCTCCATCCAAGCTTGGATGGAGGCTTGGCTGGAGGGATTTTTTCATGCAATTTTTTTTTAAAGCTTGGATGGAGGCTTGGATGGAGGGATTTTTTCATGCACTTTTTTTATTACTCGTTACGTGGTAGTGTGCTGTTAGCCAACAGGATACACCAGCCATTGCTGTTGAACGAGGAACAACCTCTCAACAACGCATGGTGAGATACTTTTACTTTTTTTCTTCTTATTTAGTAGTTTTGTTTAGGCAATTCAGTTCATAGTAAGGCTAGACCATTCAAATTTAATGTTGTTACATAATGAAATGCAAGAATGCAACATTATAAATCTGATGGATTTATATCTATAAACTGGATATTTCTATCTCATGGCCACAACTTCTAATATTTCTTACGGGACAAGTGCAGTCCCTATGACTGAAGTTCATGTTTTCAAATCGACCTTCACAAGATCATAAATATCCTTATTATGGACAATTAAAGGAAAACATAAAAGAGTGTTTTTGCTTTGCACAATCAAATATCATTTACTTATTTCTATATACACCATTACATTCCAATCTCCTGTAAATAAGTGGTGAATACCGCAGCTGCAACTTTCTTCAAAAATCACTTTACATGAAAAGTGCATATTAGGGGGTTACTATGATAGCTGTATGCTGGCTCTTGGTTGATTTTTTGTGTCAGACAAATGTAAAGATATAATTTGATACCTGTAGAACCACCTGAATTGGTTGTTCATATCTTCAGCAAATGTTACCGCCTACTCTGCTACAATTTTCACTACTTACAATTGGAAGGAATCCCGAGTTGCAAGATCGATTTGGAGATATATGGTGGTAAAATTAATTTTTGATTTCTGAATAATGATAGGAAATAATATAATAATAATTGGGGGAAAATTAGATTAATCCGACACGGAGACACGGTGTGTCTCCTCCGTGGGAGACGGAGGCACGATGAAAGCCAAAAGAAGAAACCAGAGTGGAAGCCATGGAGAAGGAGATGGATATCTAAGCCATGGATAGAGAGACACGGGATGGAGAGACAAGGGCGTGTCTCTCCATCCCCATGTCTCTCCATCCAATGGATGGAGAGACACAGGCGTCTCTCCATCCACTAATTGAAATGATTGTGCAGTGGCTCAGTGGGACGGTGGTGCTGGCGAGCGGCTCAGAGAGTGATGGAAGGCAGAAGATGAACGTAGGTAGGGTTAAAGACGGGAAAGCAATGACGCCC